AAAGACAGCAGATTACGACTATAACCCAAACCTTGGAATTTCTTCATGCTTCCATTTCTCCCACGGATGAACACAACCAACCGTTCATCCTCTGTGAAACACACCAGCAGACAGGGATATTCGTGCCTGAAGCATTAACGTTCCTGCCCATAACAAAGAGCAGCCCTGCGTGTACAGCTGGGGCCCTCGCTCTGCTCTCTGGATGCACTCTGGGATCACAGCCCTGGGAAGGGGCAGATTTAAGGCGCAGGTTAACCCTTTAGGTAATGCCTGGTTACTTACAAGCCTTTGTAGAGAATGCAGCCTGCCAAGACATGGGGAGACCGCTGGCAAGTTTGCAAGATGAGAGCTGCTTTCAGTAAAAGCAGGGGGTCCACCTAGACAGGGAGAACCCCAAGAAGTTAGGCCAGAGAACCCTGGGCAATGCTCAATGCAGCAAATAAACACAAAACCATTGGCATTAAGGCAGTTCTAGAGCCAGGCACTGCAGAGGACAGGCTTTTACCTTGGTTTTGTCCAGATTCCAGAGAGAATTGAAAATCTTGTGGAGGTCACTGGTGTTTTTTTGGATATGTTCAATGTACCTGTCCCACTGCCTGCTCAGTTCCTCCTGAGAAAATTCCTGTGGACAACAAAAATCCACATGGCTGTCAGTGCACTGGCCTTAATGCATTCAAGATATTAGATGGAATCAATGTGGGACAGTACCTACAAGTGACAAATCTTGCGAGGAAGATGATTATCGAGAGAAAACTGCTTTAGACTGAACACCCTGGAAACCTTTAGTAGACACCCACACTGCCTCGGTGCAATAGGAGGATGGGCATGTCCACTTTTCAAGCTCCCAATTATCTTGATATGTGAGCTTGCTCTGACCCTTACTAGCAGGAAGACAACATAAGGGAACATGCCAGCACGTATGCACCTGGGCAGACCTCGGCCAATATAGGAAGTGTTTAAGATCTCTTCCTAGGCAGAAACATCATGGCTGCTGCTCTTTAATTACCATGTACGCACGGTGCACAGGTCCATTGTAGAAGGTGAAGAGGCTGATCAACTGCTTCAGAAACCGTCTACAGCTGACATCAGGGAGCTCAACAGCACAGCCCAGAACCTTTAATACAGAAATCCATGAATGAAGAATGTTTACTGACAAAACCCAGGCACAGCAGGCGAGAACAACTCTTATCGCTTTCAAATGAGTACCAAAGGCACACAAGCAGTTCTGTGGCGTTCAAACATCCCCCAGATTCACAAGTCAGATGAAAAGGAAATTCAAAAATACCCACAGAAGAGCCCTGGCACAGACAGGATAAATAAATGACATCAGAAATCCAGCATTTTAGACACACTCCCTTCCCACGCTAGACGACCTAGCTGGGTGCCCTAATAGCTAAGAACATTTTCCTGAAACTAAATACTTAAAAATATTCAAATTAACTTGTTATTTACAGCAATGAAGATGCTTCATTTAGTTTTTGAGTTGCCAAGAGAAACAGGAGCGTCAGGCCTCCTGCCTCAGAGACAGCCCAGTAAGCCTGAATAGCACTGTTAATTAAATAGGTCTGTCCTGTCTCAGCCCATTTTCCAGGGGCTGGTTCAGGGCGTTTTTGTCACGACTCTGCCACACACTGCTCTTTATACACTAAACGTCTGTTGACACTGATAAAGCTCTGCAGCATGGAATACTGAGCGTTAGAAGGAAAGAACAGTGAGACTTTCAAATAGGGAGACTGAGTCCTCATTATAAACTGCAGAACATGGAATCCTGTTTCCAGTCATTTCCAGTAACCCACGGATACACGTAACGATGCAGAGCTCAACATTTTACAGCCATTTCCAGGCACATCTTAAGAAAACACGTTGGGTGCGGACACAGAAATGAGGTATGTGAAGCTTTTCACAGAACAGCTGAAGTGATTGCCACGACACATGGTTGTAGGCTGCAGTAAACAAAATTTAAGTTACCTTGCAATGAAAAGTTGTGCATTGCAAGTTCCCACCCTAGCTCTCCCCAGGTCTATCTGTGTGCAGCCCATGCCCTGAAAAAAAAAGAAAAGCCCTCTTTGTTTGATACAGTAGTTCAGATTCTCACTGCTTTCGCTCTGGGACTGCCTCCACATCTCTTGAACTCACCCACAGATAGTCTCCATCCACTACAACTGCAAACTTGAGCTTCCTCAGGCGAATGAGACTTGGAGGAACTCCAGAAATCTCAGTCATGCAGTGCACCACTCCGGCAATCTGTCCGCACAGCAGTTCCTGCTGGTCGGGGAGAGTCTGTCGAGGAAGGCAGGGAAGAAAGACTTTCGTTCTGGTTTTTTTTTCCCCTTCCTTTCAAAAGGACTTGGGAAAAAAAACAAAATCATTACTCTATTCAGATATAAATAAAAATTAATTATAAGTTCCATTCAATTATAAATCAAATGCAGTAACACAGGCAAATTTCTGGGAAAAAAACCAATTAGATTGCTTTTTTCAGGCAGCACAAGGGCCTAGAGCTTATTTAGGGGAGCTTTCATCCCTCGTGTGTATTTATTCACGACCAGAACAGACTTGGACTCTGCGGGATGACTCCACTGACCAGAGCCCACAGTGAGGGAGCAGCGTGCAACACCACCGTGCCCAGCCTCAAAAGCCTGAGGACTTCTGTGCATCCAGCCTGGTGGAGTAGCACCCCAGCTCGTTCTAGTTGCACGAGTTCTCTTAAAACTTTTGTGAATACTAAATAAGATTTCATCTAGAGCTCCACCTGGAAGCCCGACCAGTCCTGAACCAGAACTATCAGCGCTAACTCACAACACAGGCATTTGTTTACAGGCACCGAAATAAAAGCGGACATTACCTGAGAAGGATAAAAATAACAAATCCCAGCACTTGTAGGATCTCCTTCTTCCTTAACCTTTGAACCATCATAAAGGAAAAAGTAATTCCACCTAAAAAAGCAAAGCATTAGCAGGAACAATTGTATATTTGAAAACTGTTACGCTTCTCCCTCTCTTTTCTACTAGTTCAGGCAGAGCAATAAAAAAGTTATTACAAATGAAGAGACGTTCTTACATAATCACACTGAGTTTAGCCATGAAAGCAGCGCCAAGAGGGTTCCATACTATTAAAACTAAAAACCGCTTTTGTGGGTTTAAGATAGATTCTGTAACTCTGCAGCTAAGACAGGAGGAAGGGGATACGGACTTGGGAGATATTCTCCTACCCTGAGCACACGGAATAATTAACATTAAGCATTAACCATGCGCAGTCCAAACAGTTCCCACAACCTGTTGCTTTTAATTCAACTGCTGACTGTACACGACAGGCCTCAGGGAGTGCAAGATGGAGGTTTTCTTCAGAAGACGGCCTACGTTGTAACGTTATAGAGCTTATAATTTCAAGGATGTACGTATTTAATAACGCTTTCTGTCCGCTCCAGCTATTACGTTGCTAGTTACAGCTCGTTACAAGCTTTGCACGCAAGAGCTTTCCAGCAGAAAGAAATGAAGTCTGGAACAAAAGTGAAAGACGACTGAAAAGGTGTAACTGAAGAACACAAGTTACTATCTGGCCAAGGAAAAAAAAAAGAAAAGACTGAATTCGGCCCTAGGCCGTCTCTCCCCACTCCTGGAACGACCCACCGGGGAGAGACGGAGCTGTGGAGGCCCAGCCTTGGCCGCCAGGAGAGCTGGGTCCTGCTCCCGGCTTTGCCAGACCC